CAAATTTAAAGAAGTGTCTGTCTGACGAGACTCTTGTGATCCCACTCGAAGAAATCGAGGTCAACAAGAGTCTCCACTTCGTAGAAGAACTGGTAGAAATCATGGATCGAGAGATCAAGAGAACAAAACAGAGTCGCATCCCTATAGTGAAGGTCCGTTGGAACGCTAAACGAGGACCCAAGTTCACCTGGGAACGCGAAGATCAGATGAAACAAAAATACTTACACCTCTTCCCCAACTCTTGAAGTCCCGGTCAAAGTGCTAATTTCGGGACGAAATTCCTTCTAATGGAGGGATAATGTGACGACCGTCACTTTCTGTTCAAGTCAAAGTCAAACTGGTCAACTCAACTAGTGCTAATATGTTAGGTATTACTTTATGTTTGCTAATGTATAACTCTAAATTTTAATGCAAAGTAACGCCTGAAAGTTTCAAATGTTCAAAATTCTAAACCCTAATCAGATTGAGGGAAGTAACAACTTTATAAAACACTATTACGTGTCCTTCGGGGGTGTATAACACTCAAAATGGGATGCAACTAAGTCTACGTTCTTTGATCTATGAAGAAAAACATTAATAAAGGCCCCCGACAAAATCTCTCTCAATCTCTCCCATTGTATCTATATCTCTCAAAAAATCTCTCTAAGGATATGAAATCTCTCCTAAATCTCTCCAAGGATATGAAATCTCTCCCAAATCTCTCCAAGTATGTGAAATCTCTTCTAAATCTCTCCAAGTATGTGAAATCTCTCCAAGTATGAGAAATCTCTCCCAAATCTCTCTATTTACCTTCCTCGGTCGAAAACAGCCCAAAACCGAAGGAGAAAACCCAAAAGGACCCTCTTGGTCCGGAACCCTCTTAAGAACCGGACAATTTCGCATCTTCGGACCTCCCTCAGCTTCAGAACTCCTTCACTCCGGAAAGTAGCTCCAGAATGCTCCGCTTCGGACCGACTCGCACACGATAGGAAGGCTTCGCCCGGACAGCCTCGCATCTCGGAAGCCACGGATCGGCTCCGGAAGCTGCTAACTCGGCACTCCCCACTCTGGAACCATGAAAGAGCTTCGGAATTTCCATACTTGACTCCGGAATTTGGCAAATTGGCTCCGGAACCCTCGCAGATCCGAACCTCATTTCAGATTTTTGTCAATTACGGACTTTTTAGTAATTTTAAGTGATTTTGACTCAGGAAATTTCCTCAGACTTGCAATTTTCATAACTTAAACTCTCCAAACTCATATTTTGATGTATAAGACCCTATATTATCATATTTTAAATCACATTTTGGGGAGAGGATCGTAAACTAAGGACAATATCTATTGGGTGAGATATTGTGTTAGAGTGTTGACTTTCCATAAAGTGTGACACAAGCTATCCCCCATACCCACGTAGGACAACCCTCAGTCACTATTCATCTCTACCTAGTCAACTATTTGTCCTTCCACACCCCTCCTCCAGCTGGATAGTTTGATCAAAAGCTGGAAACCCTCATATCTCCTTCCACTTTACTCACTCTCTCACCAAGAAGCAAACACTTCTCTCTCATTTCCATCTCTAAGAACTCGAGACTCCAAGGCTACCTTTGAGCTTTTCACCCTCATTCAGTAAGTATTCCCATCCTACATTGAACATTATTCACTCCTTCACTCAGATTATGAATCTCTCATAACAAAGGTCACCATAATTGTTCTTAGATCTTCAACTCTCCAAGCTCCTACCAAGTGTTCTTGACTTGGAAACCCTTTCTCTTCAGCATTCATCTAAGGAAATCACTCAAGGTGAGTTCATACCCCTACATTTTTATGTTTTCTTCAAGTTTTAGGGGGGGAATACAAGTTAACACGCCTTAATATAACTCAAACTCATACTTCAGCCTTTCTCAGAAAAGCTGAGTCCTATTCACGGACTGTTTTTACCATCTTAAACTTAATATCTTTCGAAACTGCTTCATATGCAAGTATTTCAGGTTTATACCTTTCTAATGACTACTTGCAAATCTCCATACGATTTTTTCTACAATTTATGGTGATTTTTATAAAACTATCTATCATTTCAGAACCGAATCCAGACCAGTCAGTTAATATGAACATTTTCACATAAGTTGGAGACTTCTAAAAATCATAATAAAAATTATGGATATACTAGACACATTTTCTAAACTCTCAGAGTTTACAGATTCAGTTTTCGACTTCGTATGATTTTTCTATGATTTTCTCTAAAACAGTGCAGAAAGGTTAAAAACTAATTCACAACTTACAACTTTCATAACACTTTGTAACATGTTGAGCAAAGTGTTTGTCTTTGGTGACTTCATAGTGAAAAAGAAAATCAAATTCTAAACGGGACCTGCAGGTCTACGGGTGACAAATGTTATAACAAATTCTAAACGTCTGAAAAACGTTGTAGCAGGTCATCTAGTCGTAGTATGGTTATAACGGCTCACATAGGGAGTTAACAACACTTCAATTTTACGGGAAATTCTATTCTAAAAAGGGTTTTATCTATTTAAAATTGCATACTTCGTTAAAATTTCGAAACACACTCATACATTCGGTCTTGGGATTTAAGACTACATAACATTTTATAAGGAAAATATTGGATTTTTCTTGTGCATACATTACCATTACAAACAAAGGTTTTCAAACTCTACATCCAAAAGCTTATGAACTCACCAACTTAATTGTTGACACTTTTTCGAAATTACTTGTATTCTCAGGAAATCAGTGAAACAGGAAATCAACAACTTTTGAGGATGGGACGTTAAATCGTCAAACAATTCATTTTTGGTCATCATAGTGTAATTGATTTTGAAACATGTAAACTCATACTACGGTGTAACTTTTTCAATTATAATTATGATGGTTGTATTTACTATGAGCACTATTATACTCGTTGTTGTGATACTATACATGAAGTCATTTCCACCCCCGGATGTTTCCGCCATCCTTGGTTTGGGGGTGTGACATCAGTTCATCTATATAATCACCGATTTCAGTCCGCGTCTCCTCCGCTTCACAATTTCTCCATCAAGAGCCAATCTATTTGTCCCATGATCCATGGCCATTACCGACACCATTAAATTGGAATCCCTAGATGTTATGATAATCGAAATACCTAAAGCAAAGATTCGTCTCATATGTTTCTTCTTATTCTTCCTACTTTAATCCTTTCATTGCTCCTGTGAAAACGATCGACCAAAAATCGACTAAACAGATGGATGTCGAAGAACATCCATCCCTGGTAATGTTTTCAATTTTGGTGATTCAGATTCTTTGATTTCTGATTTATTAGTCTTCATTTATACATGATTTGTATAGAATGTTTATTCTCCCCTGATGTGTGCAATTATTGTTATAAACCTTCAATTTTTAACTTAGCATAGAGTTTTCCTTTCTTGTCCTTATAACTTTTTCCTTCTGTGTTGAATATTGCCTAGTTTAGAATTTGGAGAATCTGCAGTGGAACTTCATATTGACCAAGTTCTTGATAAAGGACCCCCGGGCCAGCAAGGTATTGTACTTTTGTTTCTTAACTTTCTTCTAATATAAGCCTCTGCTGTAAAGTAATGATCACACAATTTCAAATTGATGACGCCCTTCACCATTTCAGCATCTAAAGGTAAAGAATATTGTTAATTACCAATTCATATCGACCAAGTTCTTGATAACATTTACAAAAGAAAGGAAAGAACCACCAATCTTATGTTATTTTCTTAGACCGGATTGAACCGCACGATTTCTTCAAAAACTGGATTAAATGGTGTGATAAAATCGATAAAAAACAGTTTGAACCAGTTTAGTTTATTGGACTTATATAGTTTAATTTTACTTAGCCCGTTAAAAAAAGTAGTTCATATCCAAAGAAAATTGAATAGATCAATCGATTAGGTTATCCAAAATATACACAACTCGAAAACTAAAACAATCCACTACCAAATATAGTCTGACGGTCAGACCGGTTAAATCAACAGTCAAATTGATAATCAATCATTTGACTGATTCAAATAAAAAAAATGCCGGTTTTTAAAATATTTGTTTTTCGTTTTATTTTGTTTTGTCCCTTATTATTATGGAAAGAGAGAGTTGAAAAAAAATACTCCCTCCGTCCCAAAATTATTGTCTACAGACAAAAAACACACAGATTAAGGAAACATTAATTACCACTAACTTTAATAAATGAAATGACAATTTTACCCTTATGTTGCATTTAATTCTATCCTTTTGTTGCATTTATGAGGGATATTTTGGTAAAAAAGATATTTATAATTAGAAGTATGCTATTATTTTGGGACAAACCAAAAAGAAAATATGGACTATTAATTTGCGACAGAGGGAGTAATAAATTAGAAAAACACAGGAAAAGAAGACATTTCCTATTTTACGATTTTACCCTTTAAAAGAAACCGAATGTTTTTCGTAGACTTCTCTGATCTCATTTTTACTTCTGCTCTCACCTTCTTCCGCCGCCATCAATTTCACACATTCTAATCTCCAGATATTTTCATCTTCACTTACATACACCGCGTTTTAGCATCACATATCAATCAAATTTTATCCCTCAAATCGATCCAGGCTCTCGAATCTCAGCCAACGACTCAAGAACAAGGCGTAATGGTAACTAAACTAACTCTTATCCTATCAATTTTATTTTTCACTTTTGCTTCATTCCAGCAAATGCTTATTTGTTTCTTCACCTTCGATTCTATATCGAACTACTTTTATAATACTCATTAGATAAACTTTGCGTTAATTTTTATCAAGAAATTTGACGCGTTCTTCTATATTTAGACCACTTTACTCGTATTTGTGGTCTGGTAATCAGATTGATGATTTTCATTTTCTTGCATTCAATTAATGGGTATACTCTTAAATTCTACCGCATAAAAGATCATCAACCAAGGAAAAACATTGTGATATCTACTATCCTAAACTCAACAAATCATTGATCTTGAGGAATCTGATGCTAACACTAAATCTTCCTCCACCAGGCGACTCCATTGATGACAGGACTTGCAGTTGCAGCTGTTGCTTATGCTGGCAGATATGGCATCCAAGCATGGCAGGATTTCAAGGCTAGACCAGCTTCGCCTGTTGCATTTAGAAAGTTTTATCAAGGTGGTTTCCAATCTAAAATGACAAGAAGAGAAGCTGCTCTGATTCTTGGAGTAAGGTACATAATTTATATCACTACTAAATCTAGCATTCATCTCCATGTCTTTTTGTATTATGATTTATGTGTTTTTGATGGTTTAAATGTGTAGGGAAAGTATTGTGGTTGATAAGGTAAGGGAAGCACGTAGAAGGGTAATGGTGGCAAATCATCCAGATGCTGGTGGTAGTCACTATCTTGCTTCCAAAATCAATGAAGCAAAAGAAATGCTCATGAGGAAAACTAGCAACACAGGCTCGGCTTTCTGATCAATGTCAACTCAAGAAGATGATTTTTAGCATAAACATGGACTGGATTTGTTATACCTTAATGGGAAAATGACATAAAAGACCTTAAATCCATACATTTTTCCAAAGTTTGACAAAGTCTTCATTTCTCCTGTGTTCTTGAGAGGAGTAAAGAAAAAACCATTGGATATTGAGTGACAATTTGATTTAAGTTGTATTGGTGGGTTCCTAGGACTTATGTAAGAGTAATAAAAGAGTTTCTTTATACCTTATAATGTTATAGACGACGTATCTTCGTAAACTGAGATATGTTAATCACAGGTTATACCCGTTTGATGATTGTAGGTGTTCTTTATCTTTCCGGGTGTTAGGAAAGCAATCATAATTAAGAACACATGAGGACGAAAGGTGATTGGTATATAGTACTTTGAGCATGTCACCATAAAAGGAATTATTTTACCATTATGTGTTTTATAATGATATATAATACGTATTACTTGTTACTTTATCTACTATATGTGCATTTTACAAGTAAATGATGTAAGACGAAAATAAGTTTAGAGAAGGGGATTAACCTTGGGTAAAGTTAGTGGTGTTCAAACACAAATACTATGTGTGAAAACCATGAAATTAAAAAGATTTTATACTTTATCTCACATTAATGTGTCAAAAGTTAGAAACATTATTAAAAAGAATTTTTGAAAAGTCATTGGGGTTCAAATCAATTAGGTGCAAGTAAGATGGCTTCGATTATAGTATAATATAAGATAAAATAGAATATTTTGAACTTAACATGATATTTGTTTAAAATGATATTTGTTCTATGACGAACTAGCTCAACTCAATAATTCAACTTACTGATTCATACGAACATTCTCATTGATCATATATGTATTTACATATGCTTTCTCTCTAGTTTCTCTAGTGTTTCAAGTGTGTTTACCGGTACATAAGAACCCACTATATATAGGGCAAAGGTTGGGTAACTCAAAGGTTGTAGGACTTATGTACATAACTCCTACTTATGAAAGGCTCTAAATGTAGGCAACCATTCATCTTCTATGAGTTACAACACTCTCCCTAGTGTTCTTAGATTTACACTGAATTATACTTGTATTTCTTCATCTTGTATCTTCAGATAATACATCAAACATTTGTCTCGTTAAAAACCTTGTCGGAAAAAACCCTTTGGGACAAAAACTCTGGTCATAAGATAAAAGAGTACAATTTGGATACCTTGAGTGAAGGAAATAACCATACATGAAGTGCCTCATTAAAACCATGTTAAAAGAGAACCCAGTAGGAAAGTATTGGAACCTAAAATTTAGAGAGATTTAACTTTTATTCAGATATTAACCAAAAGAGCAAAATGGTCATTTATGAGAATTTAGAAGGTTTATGAAGTTATGACTTCATGAAAATGGTCAAGATGGGTTTAAGTCACTAATAATAGGTTAGACAACTAAGTTCAAGAGAAGAAATACATGAGAAGATGTATTTTGGCCAAAAGGGTAAAATGAGAAATTTTATGTTTTTTGGGCCAAATTAAGTCGGTGAGAAATGACTTAACAAAATTGTAGAGTATATTTCCAACCTCGTATGGATATAAAGATCATAGAAAACAGGTTAGAAATGAAGAAGTTATGTGTGTTATAAGTTGGAGGAAAAGTTGTCCCCAAAGCTGGAATGGAATCAACAATGCACTTTGCTGATCACTAGGTGTCGCAGAGCGGAAAACAAATCGCCACTACGCGGTGGCATAAGTAAGCTACCATTGACCAAAGTTAAATGGTCACCATGACGCGGTTTCGAGGTCAAAACACATGTTTTAACCTGTTAAGAGCTCATTTTGATCCATTTGAATGGGGAATCGATTGAGAGTTTGAAGGTGGCGATTTTGCTGCCCAAATAGTGCCAAGACAAGTTAGAGATGGTGGATTGTTAGGATTTTCATTCTCTTCACATTAAGGTATGATTTCTCCACTTTTGGTGAAATTGTTAGTTTGTATAGATCGGTTGAACTGATCAATCTATAGCTTGATTTTGATTTAGATGAGAGTGTTTAAAAGCTTTAATTAAGTTTAGAGAGTGATTTACATGGTGAAATTAATACAATGAGAGTTAGGGTTTTAAACTCTAACTAGTGATTATGATTGATGAATTAGAGAGTATATTATAATGAATTAGGTAGTATGAGATGCATAATTCATTGGTTGGAATGTATTAGAAGTAGAAAATGAGAAGTTAGAAATATGATCCAATAAGTGGTCATTTTGACCACGAGAGTCATTAAGGTATGATTTCTCCACTTTTGGTGAAATTGTTAGTTTGTATAGATTTGTTGAACTGATCAATTTATAGCTTGATTTTGATTTAGATGAGAGTGCTTAAAAGATTTAATTAAGTTTAGAGAGTGATTTCCATGGTGAAATTAATACAATGAGAGTTAAGGTTTGAAACCCTAACTAGTGATTATGATTGATGAATTAGAGAGTATATTATAATGAATTAGGTAGTATGGGATGCTTAATCCATTGGTTGGAATGTATTAGAAGTAGAAATGCTAAGTTAGAAATATGATCCAATAAGTGGGCGTTTTGACCATGAGAGTCATTAAGCTCTTAATAGGCTAAGACAGGTAATAAAAACTTGTACATGCGTATGAATAGGCCTAAGAGCAAAGAAGATGGATCAAGATGCATCAATGAAAGAATTGAAGAAAAAAGATGTTAGTATTCACTAACTAACAATGTGAGTTATATCACTCTCTTGATTTAGATTATGTATGTTTATATATATATATATATATATATATATATATATATATATATGTGTGTGTGTGTGTGTGTGTGTGTGTGTGTGTTGGATCTTGGGCACTAAGTGAATGCCTCCAAGTGATTTAATGAAGATATAGGATGGTTATATGTATAATGTAACACTCCAATTAGGTATTACCCTTGGAACCCTTGAAATTATAAGTATTGAATAATGGTCCCTTAAGTACGTTGGGCGTACTTCAGGAGTACGCTTAGCGTACCATGCATGAATGAACGCGGAGGGTCAGCACGTACGCTGGGCATACCAAAGGGTACGCGGGGAGTACATGACAAATGTTCAAACCCTAATTTCCGGACTTAAGACCTATATAATCATCCTTATCTCATTTGAGCTTCACCCTAAACCACCTCCTTCACCCTCAAACGTCCCTAAAACCCTAAAATCATTATAGTGTGTGTTCTTGAGCTTGTGAGTGTTTTAACACCATCTTTTTGGTGTGTTAGCTACAAGGAAGAGGAGGAAACAAGCTTGAACGAGGAAGGGCTTCTGGATTTTGCATTTAGAGCAGCTTAGGAAGCTTGAGGAGGTAAAAAGCTTTCACCTTGGTCATCATTGTCATTTCTAGAGCTAGGGTTTTCTATATAGTCCCTTTTGTGTTCATAGATCATCTCTTGAGAGTTTGAGCAACTCCATAGCTTAGGAAGAGTAGATCTAAGGTCCCTTGACTCATTCATACCATAAAAATGGAGTCCTGATAGGTGTTTCGACCTCATGCATGGATTAAGACTCTTGGAAAGGTCTTAATGGGTTGTTGGGGGCATTTGGAACATGCAAAGGCATAAAGTTGCCAACTTTATGCCTTAGGATGTCTTAAAGGACTCAGATCTGATATTGGACATTAAAGCATCAAGTATTAAGCACTTAATGGAAGTAATTGCTTAATCTGCTTGTACGTTGGGCGTAATATAGCGTACGCAGCGCGTACAACTCAGGGACTCAGTACGCTGAGCGTACAAGAGTGGTACACAAGGTGTAACACCCAAATTTTCAAGTAACTTTTCACAAAATTAAAAACACACTTTCATTCATAATTGTTATAAAATATCATTGTATCACATAATCAATTCATAACATCACATCCCAAGATCATAAGATGTAAAAGCTCATCATGTGTGTACTGATCAAGCCGGCGCCTTCCCGCGATCCTCACTGGTACCTGAAACACATAACACAACACGGTAAGCATAAATACTTAGTGAGTTCCCCAAAATACCACACACAACACATATTAGACACTCGAGGCTATAACTCTGTTGACCCTCTGGTCAATGTGTCTCAGTGGGACCCTCCAGTCCCATAACTCTGTGGGCCCTCTGGCCCTAACTCTGTGGACCTTCCGGTCCTAACTCTGTAAACTCTGTAACATACATAGCATAAATCACATAGAAATCACATCATGCAAAAGCACACAAAATACTCTGTCACATAACTCTAATTACCACTCTAGGTAAAGTATAGTGAGAAGACTCACCTCGGGTAACTCGGTAATCTCGAACTCTATAAAATCTGGCCTAGCCTCCGCCTAATCATATAAAATAAATACTCTTAATCAATACATCTCTCAAGGCTAGACTATTCCCTCTCTTGGTACTCTCAGAAGGGTAAAAGACCATTTTACCCCTCTCATGGCTCAAAGACCCTAAAGTTGACCAAACCCTAAAAGTCAACAAAAGTCAACCCTCCGGGTTACGCTGCGCGTACCACACATGTACGCTGAGCGTACCCGGCGTCCTCACAGAAACGGGGTGCGCGACCCCTTACGCCGCGCGTACTGGGATTACGCCCCGCGTAACTCCCAGTTTCAGACTCTTAAGCTCTTGAGGTCTTAAACAGTTAAGACCCACGTCCAACTTCTAGATCTGACCATTTCTAAGCCTCTTAATCCATAAAGTTGGTGACTTTAAGCCTTTGCATGGCTGGACAACTCACCAACACCCATAACATTCCATTTCCAATCCCTAGAAAGCTCCTAACTCAAGCATGATCTCATAACAACGACCAAGTTGGGATTTTTATGGATCTATAACACAAATATCACTGAAATGGGACAGATCTAGGTCCATGGAGTCCATTACACTCATAAAGTCTCCACCTTTGGGACTTTTAACCCTAGAAATGGTCCATGCAACATCAAACCAAATAAAGAGGAAAGTTTTGAACTTTATACCTCTAGATGAAGCTCC